GGGCTGATTTGCATATGAAGGTTGACTACCAGAATCCGATTACATATGCCCAAAAAGATTAGTGGTCTGTTACGCCCATGTTTGTGTGAAAGGTGAAGGAGCACCTGGTCACCCCGCCGTAGCAGTATGGTTACGAGGTAGGCTTCCAAAAAAGTTTTTTTTTACAATTCTCACTGAGTTTCAGCCTTGTTGTAGCCATCGGAAACTCTTTCAAATGAGTGGTCTCGCAAAGAAATCAGGCTTTACTGTAAGCCAATGTATAGCGGCCGTTTCGCTGGGGCTAAACAGTGCGGAACAATTTCATAAACTACTCCAATCGATAGGCTCTTTTTAGTCTGGGTTTTGGAGATTCGTCCTGTCAACAAGTCCTCTAAGAAAACAAGTAAACAGAAGTACCAGGTGCCAGAAAACACTGGATGAATAGGAAAATGTTTACCAAGCACAGTGATAAGGATTATTTTGCCCCAATTACTCATTCAGTGACGTCTGATCTCGTTGATTTCCTCCCACCATCCTTAGGATCCCATATCAATCCAAACCCAAAACGGATCATCGGTCGTGTAGGGCCTGTCACGTTGTGATACTCGTATTACAATGTGAGTTAACAATTTCAGCATGGTGTATACCGTAACCCAGCCGGATGATCAACCTCCGGTCACGTCACGAAATCATTTTGTATTCAAAAATCGTACCCGCTTTGTTATTCTACTACTCTGTACATTATGCTTATCGATTGCACAAAGTAACGTGCTTACATTGAATTTCACTATTATTTGTATGGTTAATGATCCGATCAATATCGATCAATACAATATTTCCGACACTATTTTTCTTACCAACAATGGCACTTATAATGAGGTGAGTGATTCAGTTTGATTGATTTTTCATGAATTTTTTCATAACTTCGATTTCCTTGCAAGTTCTTTCTATCCTAAAGACTTAGTTCACGATAAAATTGAATTCTTAACTCGCTAACGCTGCGAGTTCCCGGCTTTCTGGGACGCCTTATAGGACGTTGGCCGGTAGAAAAGTCGTTCAGATGCAGTTTATTGGAGGCTCAAAGTTTGGCAACTTTGGAAACCACACCCACAGGTGGCCGTATTGATGGCCTTTTAGAGACAAAGAAAAGATATCCAGGGCTCTAAAATATGACTACAGTGGGAAGCTGCACCAATCGAATCCTCAAACAATCCCTTCGTCGCCAAGATTTCGTATAACCCCGCAATTCGATTGGTTTCAAAATGCCTCATATTTCGCAAATCCCACTGAATTCCTGGTTTTGTTGGCGGTTCATTAGATATAAGTTTTATTAGGGCAGTGGTGGTCTAGTGGCAAGTGGTGCGCTATCACACACGCATGGTTCAGAGGTAGAATTCCAGATCGATGTCTGCCCACCTCAATCAAAGCCGTTCAACTCTCAGGGGCTCGGATAAATTAGCAGGCTCATCTGGGAGGGTAAAAGAGCTGATTGGTACATCTGCAGGCCACCACAAGCCATTGTATAGGCCACATAAGCATTTAGAAAGCTACTGCGATTTTTAAGGGAATTCGTACGTGGGGTGAATCCCGAAAACCGGCTTGATCAATGCCAAAAGACTCTGAGTTTTCAATGTTATGAGGTAGCTACATAGTAGTTTTAGAGGAGACATTAATTTTATTGTAGGAAGTTTTATTGTAAAGAATTTAATGATAGTTTGAGTATGGTTGTCAGTGAAATGATAGGCCCAATAGGTGTTTCGCACTGATCTGTGATATTCGAACGACCATATCAATCTTAGCGACACAACGTCGTTGCGCACGTCGTTGTTATGATCGCATGTTCAACGTTCAAGTGGCTGTAGGATCGAAAAGATTGAAAAGGTTATCCTGTTGACAAAAATCGCCATCGAAAACACCATTCGCACCTTTTTTGGATGGCAAAAGTATAGATGGCACATGAGGTGTTATTGACAGAAATTTTGAAATATAAGAATTTTTTGGAATGATCGGTTCTCGTCTGCCAGGTTAGACGAGGTTAAGACGACGTAGGGGAGTGTTTGGACGAGATTTCTATCGCTGCAGAATAACGTTTGCTCCGTAGTTGGCTGTGTCAGCTGACTGCAACAACAAGCGCGCTCCTTTGCGAATAATATCAGCCTCTACGAATTCACTGAACTCGTCTTTTTACAGGAGTATTCGGCCGCAGTGGGCATTGGAATCGGTTTTGAGCCCTTACTTAGACCACTTTTTCAATCAGAAATGCCTTATACGGACCCAATGCACATTTCAAAGGCCCTTATCTCCTAAAAATGGAAATTCCCGGAATCAAATTCATAGTGAACTCTGCTCTTGAGAACTGCGCTTTGCTTGTGAGCGTTCTTCATTTTTCAGGCTGGCAATTCCTCGTATTCACTGGAATACGACGAAGCCGTTCCACCTAAACAACACTATACTTATTCACCTATTGAGCAGAATATGCTCTTTTTATTTGTGGCCATTGGCGCCCTAGTGGGCATGCTTCCAATTATGTGGCTTACGCAGGTAGGATACCTCATAATAGAATTCTTTTATATCAACCCATCTAGCGCAATGGAGAGGACGTTGCACATGGGGACTATGGAATCTTTCACACTTCCCTGGGGGAACCTACGGTCATACGAAACCAGGGGATCCACTCAGCGATGGAAGTTCACGTCGAGCATAGGTCAAATCGGAATTGTATTCTTCGACATCGGAACTGGGAAGCGGGCATAACAAGCAGGTATTTCCCATCAGATGAGATTGAACGGAACGGGCAGGTGTTCTGGAAGTCGATATATCGATCGGTGCACGTTTCACATCTCTTTCGGAGAATATTTATCTAAAATCACACCTGCGCCTTCGTGAGATTCAAGATAAGAGAAAAAGAAGAAGAGGGGACCGTTTTCGAGTGAAAATCTCTTTGCAGTGTTGAGCAAAAAAACCGATAATATAAAAGCAATCAATACCTTGCAGATGTTTGACACTCGACCTTTAGTTACTATATTCGGTTTGTTTTCCGCATTTTGCACTGCCCTTATTCCACTGAGCGCTTATCTTGGTTTCTATTGGATGGTCATCGTGCGTTTCTTGCAGGTACGTTTTGATCCAATTTATCGATTTCCGTGAAAATAACCCTGTAAATATGTTCATGGCCTTTCATGCTGATTGATAATTGCCCTGATCAACAAATAATATTTGTTTATTTGAGTTTTTACATTAATGTACATTTATTTTCTAGGGAACTGGACTCTCCACTGGCTTTTTCCTCATTGGTAATGTTAGTCGACAATGGTCAATACAAAAGCAGAACGCATTTTTCTTCGCATTTCTCACATGCTTTTTTCAGGTGAGAGGCGGGGTTCGTTAGAGACGCAGAGGATCTTAGGTAGTTCCACATGAACTGTCTTCATGTCACTATCAGCTTGAATTTATGAATAACATCTTATATATTATTTTTATATATTTATATATTATATACTATTTATTTGTTTACTTATATTATTTTTTATTGTTATTTATGTTTTATTTATTTATTCACTCATTTATTTATGACATATTTATATTATATTTTTATTGGGTTGTCCGAAAAGTTTCCGCCTAGTTTTGACACCCCGGATTTGTCATCCTTTGTACAAAAGATCAAGGACCCAACCTAATAAAGTTATATGTTTTCTGAAAGAGTAGGTCCTTGTCTATATTCCTGTTGGGATTCTATCAACATTTGTCGAAGTCTGTCTGTACAGGACTCGTATGAAAATGGAGAACCAATGCGCGCATTTTCGACATCTGAAGTATAATATTTCTTCTACCGCAAGGCCTAGAATGCGGCTCAA